ACAAAGTAAACAAATTCTTAGACAAATTTGGGTGAATGAAAACACTCTAACACACAACCAAAACATAAATTAAACACTTTGAAACAATAAAGTAAAAGGGGGATTTTGGTTTTAATGAATTTGAAAACAAAACAAACTTTGTAAAACAAAACAGATTGTAAGTGAATTTGAATGAAACTTATGGATGGAAGGCTAGCTAGGAGGTTCTTCTCCACACATGTCACACTTGCATACAAAACGATTTCCAGTTGCTTTTCGATAAGCTATGAATACTCAACGCCCCAAATTAACCGTGAATTGCACTAATTAACCCTCAGTTTTTTCCACAAGTTATTAGGTTGGATGATTGCATACGACAACCCAAAACATTCCCTACAAGTTCCCTACATGAATTGCATAATAAAGATACATGCAAGAATCATTAAGTTCTATGAAAAACATAAGCATTGACGAGGCACTCGTTACTATGATTTGCATGAAACTTATGCCAAGAGTTTACTTAACGTGATTGTGACTAGCAACCTTCACTACTTGTGAATATAAGTTTATAACGATTAGGTGAAACTCCCTTATATTCTAGTGTGACAGCCCGTCCCGGAATTTTAATTCCGAGGACATGAAAAGATGAAAATGCCCTTAAACGGGACTAAGGGGCGAAAATTTAACAATTTGGATTGAGTTGGACACGTGGGATCCCCACATCCCTCAAAACTTTCCCCAATTCCCGTACCTTGTCTCTCTATCTCTCTTCCCTCACGACTCTCTCTCACTCTCAGTTCTCTCTCTTCCTCTCCGACGCTCAACCTCACCCAAAACCACCTAAAACATAAACAAACGTCCAAGATAAGACCACATTTGGACTCCTGGAACTTCCACGATCACGTAGACATCAATTTCAGGTAAGTTTTGCTTCGAAAAACCCTAGTTTCAAAGTTCCCGTGAAATGGTACTGTTCATGATCTTCTAAATGACTACGTTTTAGGCTAAAAAAAGATCACAGCGGGCTTAGTGAGGTCCCAAGGAAGCTCGGAGTGCTTCGTTGGAAGTTTTTGGACGTAAGAACACGGAGATTGACAAGTTCAAAGTTTGGCCGGAGCTTTCGAGGAATTTTCCGGCGAATCCCCGGCGAGTTAGGAGTCGAGGTAGGTATCAATCTCTTCGTCTCGTCAAGTACTACAACTTTCCTTTTTGTTTCACTCAATTTCGTTGAGTATTGAAGAAGTTATACTCATTTGAAAAATACCCAGTTTCCGGCGACCTCCGAGGCTTTCGAGGCATTTTCCGGAAAAAATACGGCTAACTAGGTGTTTTGCAAGGTACCATTCTCTTTGTCTTTTCAAGGGCTACAACTTTCGTTTTTGAATCACTTGATTTCGTTGAGAAATGACAAAGTTATGGCAATTTGAAAAACTGCCCAGAAAACGGCCGCCGGAAAAACCAGTCCGGCGACCCAAGGAAGAAGAAGGTGCTACAGTAAAAATAAAAAAATAAAAATAAAATTATTTTAAAAATATGTCGACGTCCGTGACGTCGAGTAGATCACTGTGGTATATTCATATACCTAAATTGAACACCGTATGAGAAAGTTATTGAAGATTGTTGGTTAGGTGTTCAAATAACGTTTTATAGTTTTCACATTTAGGTGAAAATGTGAATTGATGATCCGACCGTTGGATCGTCACCAAACTTTGATACGTTGTAATACGTAATATTTGAGGATTATTGGAACTTACGGATTGGGAATCCGAGTTACGGATCTTCCGGAATTGGAATTGTAAGTCCATAATATAAAATGTTAACCGTCACTTAGTTTTGGAAATTGACGGAGATCCGACCGTTGGATGGTAATGAAATTTTAGGATGTTGTCCTAGAGGTATAATGTGAACCTCTGGAAGTTATGGATTTAAAATCTGAGGGGTGGATCTTCCGGATCAATCTACGTAGTGACGTATTTTATATAAGTTATATATTTTATCGATATGAATTCTGAGGTTGGAATTGATTATTGTTTTAGGCGCCGATCGTCATGACGCCTTGGCGTATTGTGCTAGGGAGTTGTAGGGCGAACTCCAGGTGAGTGGGCAGTTTTGTTTTCCGTATATATATATACTTGACGTTTCCCAGAAATTGAATTGAAATGAAAATATGTTTAAAATGAAATGCATATGAGTTATGTGGAAAAACGGGAAGTGAAATACCATGCATAGAATTGATATGAAAAGTATATAGAAATGTGAGTTGAAATGCCATGCATGAATTAATATATGATGCATATGTATGAATTGGTGCGGTGGACGCACAAGTAAGAATTGATTTATGATGCATATGTATGAAATGGTGCGGTGGACGCACATGTGAGTATTTAATTACTGTTATGATGATGATGATATATATTGAGCTCAAATCCTGCACCATGGTTTAGTGCTTATAGTATTCACCGCATCGCACGCTCGCCTTGGATCCAAGTAGATGCTAGTCGTACAGTCCACGCGGAGTGGGTACGACAGACCAGTCGCGAGAGTGTTAGTGAGATTCCGACTGGTGGGTGACCTTAGATTATGTGCACAGATGATTTATGAGAAGCACTAGAGCGTAACTTGTGTGCAGAAGGCCGGACGGGTCACAGAGGTGACTCCGGTAGAGTGATAATGATAGATTTTGAGCTCTAGGTTCAACCGTACAGGGCTATTAGAGGGCCTCCGGTTGATTACTTTCTTGCACCTGATATGATTATTGTTGATGCATCCATACTTAACTGTTGAATTAGACATGGCATGGCATGATTGATAAAAAAAAATGTTGAGTTAATGAATTAAAGTATTGAGAATATATATGTATAATTATATTTTACATTTCTGGGAAAATATACAGGTTTTACGGAGAGGGGTTACAACGTTTTGAAAAATGTTTGGATTTGGAAAAGAATTGTTTTACTGACCCACTCAATTTTGGTTTTGCGCCCCTCCAGGTTCAGGAATCACAAAGGTGTGGTGACTACGAGGAATTCGACGGTGTTCTGACAGATTGGACAAAATTAGGACTCACCTTCGGGTGTATCAATTTAAATTGTATCTTAAAGCTTCCGTACTGTGCAAATGGTTACGTCACTCTCACGTGACGGCCAGCATGCCCTCCTTCGGGACGGGGTGTGTCACTAGCGTCAAATTCATGCATGAAAATTAAGCGTGCACTCTTAACCAACATACACAAATTAGTTTTTATGAACGGATAAGTAAATTGAATTCACAACTTATGAATCACAACTGGATGTAATCAAATCATATTGCAAGTATGAACATAGTTTCGAATCACCCCCTAACTAAGAGGGGTTTAGTTCCTCATACTTACAAAGCAAAGATACATAAAATTAGACATTAAAATCAAAGGAAAGAAAACACCTAAAATGCTCCAACTTGGTAGCAAGTGCATCCAAGATTCCTCCTTTCCCTTGCTTGCGGCAGATTGGGTTATGGACAGATTTTTGGGTAGTTTTATGATGTAGAATGGATGGGGAATGGTATGGAAGGGTTTAGGGTGAGTGTGGAGGAGTGTTTGATGGTTGGAGGGTGGTGGAGAACTAGGCAAAGAGGGTGGAAGAAGGTGGAGTGGCTGTTATGTTTTCTAGGCACTAGAATGGTGTTTTTGGGGTGTTTTGCTTCCTAGGGTGTGTATGGACGAATTTTTTGTGATAAAATGATGAATATGGGGGATTGTCCTTCGGCCAAGGGGTGTAAACATGTATTTATAGGCCCCCAAAAACCTTAGAAAATCAGGTTAGGTTAAGGATGAAATGCATGGCAATTTGTGTGTGTGGTGTGCAATGGTCCAAGGGTGAAAATGAAGTAATGATGCAAAGTGTGAAGGGTAAAATGGAGTGGTGTTGTAGCTAGGGAGCATGAATGATTGTGTACATTGCATAGAGATGGAAAGGGAGGTGAAATGTGTCAACAAAATGGGTCAAAGGTGCAACAACATGTGTTGCACATGGCATTGGATTCCAAATGTGAATGATGGAGCATCAATTGGTGCATGTAATGGATGTAAATGTTGTCTAAAATCTAATGAGTGAAGGGAACAAGAGGTATCAAGCAATTGAGTGTAATAATTAAATGAATTGAAGCATGAAATTAGAAATTATGTAGGGGACAAGAGTGATCAAGCATGGCATGGAATCCAAAGGGAATTCTATGTGGTTTGTATGGCAAGGAATGCAAGTTGGGGTGACAGATTTTTGGGCTGTTTTCTTCATCTTTTGGACCATAATTCTTCATATTCTTGGCCTCTTTAGTTCTCAAATTCGTCCATCCACTTGGCCCATGCATTTGCTATCCATTCCAAGCCCGAAACATGATCCAAAGGCCTCCAAAATGCATCTTCTTGCATACTTTGTCCATAAAATCTGAAAACACACGAAAATGACTTTAAACATTAAAATAACTAAGGAAACACGACATAAATGCACAAGAACAAGCCAACTAAGTCGCATAAATGTGCTCCTATCAATAATGTAAAGTATTAACATAATATATATAATGAGCTACATTTTATTATAATTAGCTATATAAACCATGCACTATAGTCAATAATATTGATTTAAGTTTTGTCTGATAGAAAACATGGTTAGGGGAAGGATTACACTTATTGACCATGAAACATGTCTTTTCGGCAACAATCAAAAGATACAACATTTAAATTGAAGAGATGTGATTGTTGGATTAATAACACAACTTCCCATCTCCTGTCAAACATCCGCATATATATATATATGTATATATAATATTTTTAAAATATTCAACATTACATATAAAAAATAAATGAGTAAACGGTTACCCATTTATAACCGCGGTTAATACCCATAATCATCAATTTAAATTTCACGAGTAAATGGTTATACCCATAACCATTTATTTATTACTTATAACCAAGTTTAACCGGTTGGGTAACTGCGGTTATGCCCGCGCCCATCCCTAGTTACCGTGGTCCCAGAGACACTGGATAACTGACACTATTGTGCCGAAGAGTCGCCAGGGTAGACTTAACAGAGACTGCCTCCTGCCATTATTCTAGATTCCTGATTTTCTCGCTTTCTCCTTCCAAACAGAAACATACTTTCTCACTTTCTCGCGCGTTTTCTCGGGAAAATTTTGGGAATCCCGACAGAAATTCTACAGCCTCTCCAGACACGGAGTGTAGCTGTCTTACCACTTCAAATTTCAGCTGGAAAACAGGGTATTAGGGTTTGAATTTGGTGATTTTTGTGGATTTGAATTCGGAGTTTGCGATTTTTGTGGATTACTATGTGTTTCTAGCTGTATTAGATTTGTGATTTTGTAATTATTTGTTGTGAATTTTGTGGTTTTTTTGTTGGGCTGCAGATCTGGAAATCTCGGGTTTGGAGATAAAATGAGGCAGACTAGGCTTATGGAGAGGACCAACTCTATGAGAGAGAAGAGGCAAATGGAAGGGGGAGAGGAGGAGCAACCCGAGCGAAAACGACCGGCTCTCGCTAGGTAATGGACTTCTTCTTGTTTGGTTTCAATTGATTATGTGAATTAGTTTGGTTGATTATGTTTTTTGTTTGCTAATTTGAATAATTAGTCGCGTAATTGAGATTTGTAAAAAACCCTTTAGTTTGAGAGGTGATATGGCTATACTTGGACAATCAAGTTGTACTGATGCTCACTCTAGGAGTGGAGCAATTGTTTCTTTGAGTAGTTGACTCGTATGTAAGTGCTTTTAAAATGATTGAAGATTTTGGTCAAAGTGTTATTGGTTTCCAAAAGCACTTGAAGTACAATTTGAAAGAAGCACCAATAATGTACTTCATGCAGGAAGCACTTCAAGTGCTTTCCACATTTCACTTGCATTTTTTTTACTGTGGATTGGTTCCAAAAACACTTTCATCAAAAGCAGTTTCAGTCATTTTAAAAGCGCATCCAAACACTAGTTGGTGATTAGAAGTGGTTTTTGACTAAATGTTAAGTTTACCTCACAGTCTTTAAAACAGATAAACTGTAGCATTTGCTTATGACTTCAGCTTATTTAATTACCATAGCCAGCACCACCACCAACCATGTTGTTCTTATCTGGTTGTGAATATTGTGTATTTGGTATGATGCCTTGTCATCCAGAAAAGCCAAATGAGTTGTTATTGTTGTGGTTCCTTTATGATTTCATAAAAGATATTTGCATTGAGAAAAGTTCTGGTGCTTGCTTGTCTTTGAGTACTTTGTTACCTTGTGTGATTGGAGAATAAAAACCTTTGATTTTCTATATGCATTGACTCGCCACTTAATGAACTTTTGTGTCCAAAGCTTCAATATGTTTTCTATTCGTGTTTAATATTTCGTTTAGTATATTTTTGCAGTGTAATTATAGAAGCTCTCAAGGTGGACAGTCTGCAGAAGCTATGCTCGTCATTGGAACCTATTCTTCGCAGAGTTGTAAGTTGTTTTAGTACGTTTTATATGTGACATGTTTATCCCTCCTTTCTAATAGAATTAATAGTTACCGTTACCAGTTATCTAATGTATATATGTGGGCTAATAAAGTTGAACAAATCAAAAGAGAGTTTAAACTGTACTCTTGTTCCACACAGGTGAGCTTGAAACAGTGATTAACATGCTCAGTGAAGACTTTATTATATCTTGATGCTTGTTGAATAGTCGATACCTTTTTATGCTCTCATGTTTTGATGCCTGGACTATTTTATCCATTAACTGAGTTGGATAAACATCTAGGTTCTTGTTTGTTGAAGATCACGATAACCTGGATATGGTTATTTGTTTATGTGGATACTACTGATTATTTGTGCTGAAGTTCATCCCTTAATTCTCTTTCTGTGGGTGACTCCTCTGATACCACCCAAATTTTATTACTGTAGATTTAAATGTGAGCAAGAATTTTCAGGTTATATTAGTTTTGTTTATATTGATATAATGCGGCGGAAGCTAAATTTATTTAGTGCTGGGTTAAGTGTTCTTGGCACCTGGAGTAGTGATTAATCTTATGAGCTGGAATTATTTTTAGGCTGACGTCGTATGTCATTAAAGTCGTTTCATTAAAAAACCATCAGTTCAATAACTGCACCTAATTCAAATTAAATACTAAACTTTATGTTCATTAATGTACTTCCAATTTGTCTTTGTCTGATGTTGGTACCATGTATAAAACGAAGAAAATTTGGAATATTTGAACTTCTATAGGTTGGGATGATTCTTGTGCTATCCGTATGAAGGATAGATGCTTTCTTATGACTGAACTATTTGTCTACCACGTGATACAATATACTGAAGTTATGGCAAAAAAAACATAACATATCTATTGTGATTTTCTGTCTATGCTCTTGCTCTGTAGCCCTTATTCTCGTTTTTTATTTCAATTTACTGGTTAACAGGTAAGCGAAGAAGTGGAGCGTGCTTTGGCTAAGTTAGGCCCTACGAGAGTTAATGGAAGGTGAAAAAAAATTATTTATGATATTTGTTTAATGAACAGAATAATTTTTCTTTATTGTTTATTTTGTGGGTGTATGCCTAGTGATGCTCTCTCTCTCTCGTTCTTTCTCTTCCATTTACAAACCAAATCTTTTAAACAGTCTGAAATAATGGGAAGACCTGTAGTCCATCTGATGCCAACACCACCATATTTAGGAAGCAGAGCAACACATCTAGAAAAGAAAAAAGCAGTCATAAACAAAACTTTTCTACTCACTAAGAAGAAGAATAGTTGAATACTTAGCATATATTTACAGGATTGGTTATCCCTAATTGTTAAAGCATTTATCCATTTTTCTGGAGTAGTTCAGTTGCCTACTTAATTGATTGGTTCTTATTTGTAATGCCTTCCTTTGGTAGACCGATAAGAGGTATTCTTAAACACTCAAATACTTACATGAGCTGACAAGGGTGTTTATGGGCTCTCTGAAGTATGATCTTCTTCTGTTGAGTTTTTCTTACAGAGCTTAACCAATGACCAATGATGATCATGTGTATAAATCTTAAAATTAGTTTATAGAATAATTTGAATTTTGTAAAGGTCTTCACTTGCTACATATTTGTGTTCATATTTTACATTTGGAAAATTTTTCTGGATAAGATATTTGTTGTGTTAAGGAATTTGTATGCTTCTATATGATACACAGAGGCTGAAAGCTTTTAGATTTACCAGAGATTTCTCATATTTCAAAAGTATGATGTTCAGAGAACTTCGTTGTTTTTGTTTTATAACTGTTTCTAGATTTGTAATCATATATAATTCCAGAAAGTATTTATTGGAAAAAAAAGAAAAAGAAAAGAGAGAACAGAAATGGCAGGTGTCTTCTGGTGTAAGAACTTTTGTTTTGATGTTCCCGGATATTAGAATTATAACCATCATGAACTATATTAGCAAAATAAAAATGTTCATACTATGACGAATAGTCAACACGTAGTGGTAACATAGTTTCTGATATTTGACATTTCAGGTCTTCTCCAAAACGAATTGAAGGTCCAAATGGGCAAAACTTGCAACTAGAGTTTAAGTCCAATTTGGCTCTTCCGATATTCACAGGAGGTAAAGTTGAAGGCGAGCAGGGTGCTGCAATTCATGTTGTTTTAGTTGATGCAAACACTGGCCGAGTTGTGACTTCTGGGGCTGAATCCTCTGTAAAACTAGATATTGTTGTGCTTGAAGGTGATTTCAACAATGAAGATGATGAAGGCTGGACTCAAGAAGAATTTGATAGCCATGTGGTGAAAGAGCGTGAAGGAAAGAGACCTCTATTGACTGGGGACCTGCAAGTGACCCTCAAAGAAGGGGTAGGAACTCTAGGGGATCTGACCTTCACAGACAACTCAAGTTGGATACGAAGCAGGAAGTTCAGACTTGGATTGAAAGTAGCTTTGGGGTTTTGTGAGGGCATGCGCATACGAGAAGCTAAAACAGAAGCTTTTACTGTTAAAGATCACAGAGGGGAATGTAGGTTCATGCTCCAGACAATTTTTTTTTAATTTTTTTTATTTTATTTTTTTGTCCTAACTGTGCTAGTGCGCTGTTGGTGATTTCTTTTTCCTTTGATCTTGCCAGTGTACAAGAAACACTACCCACCAGCATTAAATGATGAAGTATGGAGATTGGAGAAGATTGGTAAGGATGGGGCATTCCATAAGAGGTTAAGCAAAGCAGGAATATTCACAGTTGAAGAGTTTCTTCAGCTTGTGGTCCGAGATTCTCAAAAATTACGGAATGTAAGTGCAGGACTTGGTTTGAATTGTAAAAACACACGCAAAAACACAAATACTTTGATACCTTGTAGATGTTTATGTTGTGCTCTTGTTTATAGATCCTTGGAAGCGGAATGTCAAATAAGATGTGGGATGCTCTTTTAGAACATGCAAAGACTTGTGTCTTGAGCGGGAAGCTTTATGTTTATTATCCTGAAGATACAAGAAATGTTGGTGTTGTTTTTAACAACATCTATCAGCTGAGTGGCCTCATCACCGGGGAGCAGTTTCACTCTGCTGATGATCTTTCTGACAGCCAGAAGGTGAATATGAACCATATTGTATCTTGGAAATATGTTCTCACTATACTATTACTAGGTGGTCAATCTGTTTGTATTTTTGGATTTACATATTTCAAATCACATTTCCTTGTCCTAAAGGATTTATATTTGACACATATGTAATACTTTTTTTGTTTTTGGAGAACTTGAAAATGATATCATCACCAAGGAGCATTAGCACGAGGGAGATGAATTTTTCTGATAATTCTAAGTTTGAAGGATGTGCTTTTTTAAGTGCTATAGATTTCTGTTCTTCTTTTGATTTTTTGTTATTACTAGTAAAAGTATGGAAGTTATGAAGAGGTCCCTGCAACGCCAATGTTTTTGAACTAGTTATGTACTTCGTGTTGCTGACCGAACAATGGTGTTCTTTCTAAAGTCTTGGGCAGTTGAAAGTCCTAGAGTTCTAGATACTACAGTCATTTTTAATCTTCTATGGTAAATAATTGACAATGGAAAGGTCAAATACAAAAATTTCTATAATGCTTATGTTTGTGCAGGTCTATGTAGATGGGCTGGTGAAGAAAGCATATGACAACTGGGAGCAAGTTATTCAGTATGATGGCAAGTCACTTCTAAATTTCAAACAGATTAAGAGGTCGGCTGCACCCCGAACTGAAATTCAAATGGGCCCAATCAGTTACTCTGAAGCTTCAGATCAACTGCAACTACATCGCCTGCCAAATTCAGTTCACTCAGAGCAGCCTCCATTGGATCCGCTACCAATCGGAGGTAAACATTGCTGTCTGCATGAGCTTTGAACATTTGTTTTTTTTTTTTGTTTTTTGATTTTGTTTTCGGTGGGAGAGGGAGTAAATCCCATCCACTCAAGGTTGTCCTCCTGAAACTTATTTGTGGAAGTAATTATTTAGAGTCAGAAAAAGAATTACTAATTAATAAAGGTGAGCTAAAACAGTGAGTGTTAAGTGTCCTTTGCTTGTGTGGAATATGACTTCAGGTGAAATATGAAAGTGTAGGATTTATAAATAATGCTACGTTGGCTAGGTTTACAGAACCGAACCTGGAATATTCTGAAGCTATGGGATGTCGAATCCTCCAAAAATGAGCAGAAAATTCATCTGACACTTGCCTGACTACTCATCAGCATCTTAAGTAGCTCACCTTGGTCTAAAATTGTTGGGTTTTTGGCTCAAATTTAGGATGATGCAATCAATTAAGTTTGTGTTACCTATTTGGTTTTGGTGTCCTATTTGGGTTTGATTTTGACTTTTTAATTAGTTTCCTTGGTGGAGAGATTTTGTTAATTACCTATTTGATTAGGATTTGGATTTATTTCCTATTAATATTCTTATTGTAACCTAAGTCCTATGCACTATAAATAGGACCTTAGGGTTAGTGTATTTAGTGTGGCAATTTGGTGAGAGTCAATTTGTGAGTTTGTGAGTTAGAGAGCAATGTGGGAGAATCTTCTCCATTAGTTTTGGGTTCTCGACTCGTTTGGTTTAGGGTTTGTAATTTGTGGGATTTGGGTTATGAGAGTTTAAACACTCTTTTGTAATCTTCATTTGTTTAGTGAAATTCCTCGCCGTGCTTCACTCATGGACGTAGGCTTTATGCCGAACCACGTAAATCTCGTGTTAGTTTGAGATTGTTTGTTTTAGCTTTCACCTATGACGTTGATATTGGTACTTTGTTAGAATTCGCTTCCGTTTGCGCATAAAAGTACAATAAAAATTCCAGGATCATTAAACCAAAATTCAATCTGTAGCGACTCCTGGTGGCCATGTTAAGGACATTAGGATGAGTACTAAACCAAAATTTAATCTTCACCTTGGTCTTTTGCAATGAAAAATGTGGCTTGAGAAACAATTTATGATTAATAGGATGACCTTTATTATTTCCCAAATATGACTTGGGAATTAGGATCTACTGCTACTTTTAAAACTTTATAGATGGTATTTACAAACACCACAGCGAATCAAAGCTGTATAGTTTTAGAAGTGCCAGTCTATATAACTACGTAAAACTTGTATATCTATACCCATATCAGTGCATTTATAATTTATATTTAATTATAATTTGTATAATTTACGTTACAAAACTGAGCCTAAGCGCGTAATAAAAAATGCCATTGGAATGTAGGGAACTTTTGGTCGCACACTTGCACCATATATCTATACACTTGTCGAGTTTTTATGGAAATGCCTTGCACTTAATTTCCTTCCCTTGTTATTCAAACTGTCAATATGTAATAGATGCTAAGGTTGACACCCACGTCTTCGGTGGAGTGAGATTCAAACCATGCTATAATTTAATTCTAAACACACACACACGCACAGAGCTAGACAGGGTCCTAATTATGATTCTGTTTTGGCCTCTTTTTTTGGTCCTTGTCAGGTTATAATGACGGTCTATCAACAAGATACTTGACCCAGCCACTCGTAAATTCCAATTCTCATACCCAGTTTGATGGCGCCGGATTTACACTGGATGACCAATTGATCAGCAATTCTCATCAGGTACAAAGCACAAGAAATGACCCCAATACTGTTGGTTTGGCTCTTGGTCCTCCACAATCATCCACATCAGGATTTCAGACTATCAATTCTGCTCAGACATCCACTCTTAATCCTATAGATGACTGGACAACCAACCGAGATTTTATTTCAGAGGAAGAGATTCGTATTAGAAGTCATGAGATGCTCGAAAATGAGGATATGCAGCACTTGCTCAGAATCTTCAGTATGGGAGGAGGCCATGGCTCAATTGATGTGCCCGATGATGGGTTTTCATTCCCCTCATATATGCCATCACCAATGCCCAACTATGAGGAAGATCGCACCCGTCCTGGAAAAGCTGTTGTGGGGTGGCTCAAAATTAAGGCAGCAATGAGATGGGGTTTTTTTGTGAGGAAGAAAGCTGCTGAGAGAAGGGCACAGATTGTGGAGATAGAGGATGAATAGAAGCCCATTCAAAGCTGATACAAGGGTCTTGCTATGATAGTTAACTTTTTATGAGTGCCTGCTACAGCTTGACGTTTTAGGCGGACTGAAGATGTCAGTTTCAGAAGTCTTGATAAATGACCGACATTTGTGGATATCTGTTGGATGGAAAGGAATCTATTCTTGTAGCTACCTGTACAGTAAGTCATTTCTGTTTATTTTTCTTACTCGTGAAGATTTCTGTCATCACTCTGTGAATGACATTGGCCCCTGGCTTCTAACGGGTAAATTTCTTATTACCTCTTGTTGACATATTAGGATGACTATCATCTGTTGTTTTGGTTAAACATTGCACGCGGGTGCTGGCTAGTGTTTTATATGATTGTGCTAGTTGCTTTTGTAATTTGAATTGACTGGAATTCTTGTACGTTAGACATTCATAACCTTTTTTTTTTTTTTTTCTTTTTCACCTAGTCTTGAATTTGAGTTTCCGTGTTTTTAGCACTGAAATCAGCGTAACATACCGAGGTCTGGTAATAACTTGCTGAGTTTTCGATTCTGTTAATTGGATGTGGAGGTTTATACTGGAATCTAAAGGTTGACATGTGGAGGCCAAATGGGATTTGTGACGATGATTGGATGCAGTTCATACCGCAATTAGGCTTCAAATACGTACCGGAAATCATGTAATTCTGCGGAGTCTTTTATGACTGGAAATATCTTCTGTTCACACACAGGAGTATTGGATCAACGCCCTCTGGTTTCAATTTTTTTGCTGTTATGGAATTGCATTTGGCTTTGCTTTTACTGAATGTTTTTTGTTTGTTTGCGTGCTTCGGTAAAATGTTGGCACAATTGAAGTAGGAAGGATCATCTTTTGACTGCGTGGGACTTTAATCCCGATTGTTATGAACCGACCAATTGAGCCTGCAAGTCCTGTTCGGATCTTTCTTCCCTTCGGAATTTCACGGCAGAGGAACCTCTCCGGATCCTCTCACAGAGAATTCTAGAGGTCATTCATCGTGTTCGTTCATTGTACATATTGCGGTTAATTTTTGTCGGGTATTGTGTGTGTTCAATTTTAAATAAACAAAATTCAAACTGATTTCTAGCATGACAGATGAATGGACACGATGAAGTGATGATTGGGATTTTAAGTGATGATTGGGATTCTTACAAAAGGATTAGGATAGGATCCTATTCCGGAATTTCACTCAAAAGCTGACATGAGCTAATTTGCTTTTAGGGGTGCTTGGGACAAGCGTTCACGAGCACGCATGACTCAGCACTTGATGCAGTGCCAATTAGTGGATGGAAGTCAAACAAAAATGTCCTCACAGGTTTACTAAAATTTGTTTTGGAAACCCATAAATAATAAGTCACCAGACACCGGCGGCCTGAAATGAAGGCGGGCGAAAACAGAAAAAAGATAAAAGGTTGACGCAATTTGTGCAACGGAGAGCTGTACACAGTACCTGTACATACATCGTAAAGCCGGCATACACATTACACACACCAAATGTGTCAGGATTAGATAAATCAATTACCTCTTCTAATTCTAACAGTTGTATGTTTTGTCTCATCCTGATTACACGTCGGTGCATCAGAATGAGTAAATCAAATAAGTTGTCTATTTTAATTCTAATTCATTTCTTCAACATTATCTATATACTAAAATTCGGTTCTTTTGGCATTGTTTTTCACTGTTTGTGAACGGTAAAATGTCGGAAATGCCCTCGACTTCTCTTGCTTTGTACAGTTGATCCTCGGTTTTACCCTCGCTGGGCACGCGTGTCCTTCATCGCTGGCTTCTAGTTTGATTTCTCTGCTTTTTCGTTGTCTACCTTTCGTTTTGCTTCTCTCTCTCTCCATTTCCTGCACTCACTTTTTTTCCTCTCGCCGATTGTCGACGCCAGTTTTTCTTGCCCAAAATCTCCTGCGCTCTTGAGAAATTCTTATTGAAAGCCCCCAGCCCTTCAAGTTTCTGCCATTATTGAATTCGATCGGAATCCATTTTTTTCTCGCATAACCTGGTGTTTCCTAGTGAGTTTTCCGTCTTTCTCAAAGTGCTTGAAAAAAAAAAAAAATTTGTGGTTTGTGCGTGGCTGCCTGATTTGATTTGGTTTTTGCTTTTAGGAAAAGCTGGAGTTCGAATTTTCGGGTTTTTGCATGCAAGCTTGGAAGCCCTTTCTGATCAAGGTATATAATTTCTGTTTTTTCTATTATATCTTATGGTGAACAAAATTAAAATATTTTTTTTGGGTTGTGATCCATTTGCAGATCAAGAAATCAAGATTCAAAGATAATATGCCACCAATCACAGGACTCTGAATTCCTTTCTGGAACCCTGTTGCTGCACTGAATCATCATATTTTGGAAGTAGATTTTTATTTTTTGGTTCTCTGTGCTTTGCGGTTTTGTGTACAGATTTAGTTGAACATGGGGAAATCATAGCTACTCTTCCTGGAAAAGCTGATGCGAAGTGAGCTTCCGTTTTTATTTTCCATTTTGCTGTGAATTTATTTCGTGATTTGATTGGTGATCTCAATATGAACCCGTTAGTTTTGAATTTTGGCACATGGCATTACAAAAGCTAATGAATCCCATGCTTAAGTTGTTTTATTTCAACATCTGTTCAACTTATTGAAATCTTGTGATCAGTTTTTTCCCCTGAAAACTTTGTGATCAATTTAATCCTGTTAGAATATGTAATATTTCTTTGTCCCAAATAGATAAATTTTGGTTAGTTGGTGGAGCATTTGGAATGCTTATCAGTTATTTACTAAATGTAGTTTAAAGGAACAACTTAAATTTCTTGGGATGCCTATTTTAAAAGCAAAAGGAGAGATTGAAGCACTCTGTGCCCAGTTAAATGGCGACAATCATGTAGATGTTTGCATTACGTTTGACAGTGATGCGTACCTCTTTGAGGCTAAATGCGTAATAAAAACTTTTCGATCTAATTCCAAAGTAAGTATTAATGTCTTAGTAAGTTTAACTATCCTTGACTTGAGCAATTGTTTCTGCTTTTTCATATTTAAATTTTATTCTTTTGAACTCATATCTCCTCTTGCCAGTTCTCAGGGCTTATTATATTTTTAGGCACTAAGAGAATCTCATCGCTATGCAGGAACCATTTGAATGGTACTATATGTCAGATATCGAAGCTGGTCTTGGTTTGAAGAGGAACCACTTGATTGCTCCCTCGCTTTTGGCTGAAAATGACCATGATTTGAATGGAGTTCAATGGCTTGATACAACTCTTTGTTTTGGTCAAACGTTTAGTGAAGATGAGATAAATAGGTATGATACTAACTGGTTTTACACATGGTTTCTTTTTTGCTTAAAATGTTTTATGAAAAAAAAAAAAAATTAAAGATCACATTGCATGCAGGTTAGGTGAAATAGGCAGTTGCGATGCTTCTGTCTTTCAAGGTGGTATGTAATTTGTGGATGATAGTGTACCCAGTTTGGATGAGAGCCCATTAAAGTCAAAATTTTCTCATTGTTTTTTTTTTTTTTTTTTTTTTTGTAGGCATCCCAACAGCAAAAGAGCTCATTTCAAGTCTTCCTGTGAATTCTTTAGCAACGCAGTTGGTGACAGCTACATAAAAGTTAAGAGAGGTTCAAATGCAGTTGCTCTTCATGTTATATGGTACATTGATCAAATCACTCAAATCCCTTTATTTTATATATAGTCGTTGTTAGCACTAACATCATATTCAATTTTTTGTGTGTCTGCTGCCTTTTTTAATCTCAATATCCCCTTTTTTGTCCTTCTTTTGTTTATATGTTTATTTATTTATTTATTTTTTGCTAAAATATTGCTCTTTGAATTGTTTCGAGGATACTTAATAGTCCAAATTTTTTCAGTGAGCTTTTATGTGCATTTTTTGTTTGGTTCTTATTTGAAATGAACTTTGTAAGAAGTATCTTGGCATAACCCAATTTTTACATGAATCTAAGTTTTTCAAGAATAGCAAAGGAGAGAAAGGAGTCTGTTGTGTTTGGTGTAAAATTAATTTTTTTGTATTCCAATTATGTATGTTTTTTGCTGTCAGTGTGTATTTTTGCGTTGTCTGATTAGCGGTTATGCATAATACTATTTACAATGTGTGCATTTTTAGTATTGATAGTAATGTTATAAATAATTAGATGGCACGAATGTTGTATGAATCTTGATATATTTTACAAATAATTTGTATTTAAATTATCTAGATGAGGTTGAATAGCGGAAGTCCAAATGTACACTTCACTGGAAGAAAGATTGTGTGACATAGATCCAGGTTGCGAATTTGTATGCTCATGTGGAAGAATGCTCTGTTGGTCGGACGACATTGACTTAACTAATGGACATGGACAGAAGACATGGTACGGTAAGTATAGTAAATCTTTCGTCCTTGTTATTATGCAGTTGTAGGTTCTTTTCCTAGTCCTAGGCCATCTTATCATTATGTCTTAAAATAATAACAAAGTTTCCATGGCACTATAAATAAAGACCTTTCTGGGATTTTCGAAACTATCCTTAGAACAATAGTTAAGGATATCCAATGTACTTCTGATGCAAATATGAAGTACAACATTTTTCTTACGTAGTAGACCGAATTGGTTGGAGCATGATGCAAGTGTCAGTACAGCTGGATATTCATTTGCTCACAAAAAAATTTTGTGCATACCTTCATGTTGTTTTATACAAAAATTACGGGATTTATTTATCCTAAATTCACTGTTGTTAATAATTGTACCTGCATGCCATGCCTCAATGATTAGTCACTGAATTTTGTTAAATGTGTTGCATGTAAAAATTGGTTACTTTGAGGAGTCACTCTTCTGTATCTGGTGAAGATGAATTACAATAAAGCATGAAAGTGGCCATGACGTTTAAGGAAAAATTTATACTTCTGCCACAAGCCAGGTGCTTATCTAAAACATATATAATTACTTACATAAGTTGATTGTCTCTATTTCAACTTAGCGTCGTTCTTAATGTTCAACTGCCTGGAAAGGGTTCTTGAAGTTGTATTTTGGAATTAGTGTTCTTGATTCAGAAAAAAGGTCAATAAATACCTGCCTACACTCCACTTGTATGTAAATAGTATTGCTTATCATATATATTTTTACATTATACGGTTTTGAAAAGAATTACCCTGTAACCTTCCCCCCGATCCTAAGCCTATGCTTATGTGGTTATACATATTTGAAGGCACTAAATTCAGACATGCAAGATTGTGAGATCAGACCCCAAGAAAAGAGCTAGAGCAGGGATCCAGATAACAAAGGGGCCAAGGCAGAGTCATGAGAGCCCACAAGGAGCAACTTGAGGAAAGTGTCGATCAAAACTTTTGTATGTAACCATTTTCCAATTCAGTGTAAATAGTAATGTTTTGAAACGCAATCTTTTATATCTTGCAAACATAATCTTTAATACAATTTTCAGTTGCAAACGTAATTTTCAT